ATATGAGAAAAATCTTCTATGCACTCACCCATTTCTCCGGCAGAATTGAGCCATATTTAACGTTTTCAAAATTAAATTTTGGAAATTTTTGGAAAACGTTTTTTCGTATTATTCGGCGATTCGACAAGGTATCGCGAAATTAATTCAGATGTGTAATCTCCAGGAACTTCTCTAGAGGCTAGCGTCTTTTCCGTTCAAACAGGTTCACTTTTAAAATTTTCAAAAAAAGAAATTGAATTTTTGAAAATTTGTTTTTCACTTTTATGGCTAGCTGGAAAAACGGTTTCAAAAATTATTTCAGATTAGTAATCCACGAAGAATCCTCTATGTACTTGACAGAATAGTCACATTTAACGTTTTCAAAATTAAATTTTGGAATTTTTTAAGAAATAATTGTTGAAATTTCTCGTTTGTTCGACAAGGTGTCCCAAAGACGATTGCAGATTTGTAATCTACAGAGAACTTACTCGAAGTTAACAATATTTCCCCATCAAATAGATCGACTTCTAACATTTTCAATTTTTTTTTTGAAAATTTTTGGAAATTTGTTTTTTATTTTTCTCGACAGCGCGAACAGAAGTTTCAAACCCGACTTCAGATTAATAATATGCGAAAAATTCTCTATGCACTAGCCCATTTCTCCGGCAGAATTGAGCCATATTTAACGTTTTCAATATTAAATTTTGGACATTTTGGAAAAACGTTTTTTCGTATTATCCGGCGATTCGACAAGGTATCGCGAAATTAATTCAGATGTGTAATCTCCAGGAAATTCTCTAGAGGCCAGCGTCTTTTCCGTTCAAACAGGTTCACTTTTAAAATTTTCAAAAAAAAAATTGAATTTTTGAAAATTTGTTTTTCACTTTTCTGGCTAGCTGGAAAAACGGTTTCAAAATTTATTTCAGATTAGTAATCCACGAAGAATCCTCTATGTATTTGACAGAATAGAGTCACATTTAACGTTTTCAAAATTAAATTTTGGAATTTTTTAAGAAATAATTGTTGAAATTTCTCGTCTGTTCGACAAGGTGTCCCAAAGACGATTTCAGATTTGTAATCTACAGAGAACTTTCTTGGAATTAACACTTTTTCCCCATCAAATGGATCGAATTCTAACATTTTCAATTTTTTTTTTTGAAAATTTTTGGAAATTTGTTTTTTACTTTTCTCGACAGCACGAACAGAAGTTTCAAACCCGTGTTCAGATTAATAAAATGCGAAAAATTCTCTATGCACTAGCCCATTTCTCCGGCAGAATTGAACCATATTTAACGTTTTCAATATTAAATTTTGGAAATTTTTGGAAAACGTTTTTTCATATTATTCGGCGATTCGACAAGGTATCGCGCAATTAATTCAGATGTGCAATCTGCAGGAAATTCTCTATAGGCCAGCGTCTTTTCCTTTCAAAAAGGTTCACTTTTAGAATTTTCAAAAAAAAAATAGAATTTTTGAAAATTTGTTTTCACTTTTTTCGCTAGCTGGGAAAACAGTTTCAAAAATTATTTCAGATTAGTAATCCACGAAGAATTCTCTATGTACTCGACAGAATAGTGTCACATTTAACGCTTTCAAAATTAAATTTTGGAAAATTTTAAGAAATGTTTGTTGAAAAATTCTCGTCTCTTCGACAAGGTGTTCCGAAGACGATTTCAGATTTATAATCTACAGAGAACTTTCTTGAAGTTAGCACTTTTTCCCCATCAAATAGATCGACTTCTATCATTTTCAATTTTTGTTTTGAAAATTGTTGGAAGTTTGTTTTTTATTTTTCTCGACAGCGCGAGCAGAAGTTTCAAACCCGAATTCAGATTAATAATATGCGAAAAATTCTCTATGCACTAGCCCATGTCTCCGGCAGAATTGAGCCATATTTAACGTTTTCAAAATTAAATTTTGGAAATTTTTGGAAAACGTTTTTTCAAATTATTCGGCGATTCGACAAGGTATCGCGAAATTAATTCAGATGTGTAATCTCCAGGAAATTCTCTAGAGGCCAACGTCTTTTCCATTCAAACAGATTCACTTTTAAAATTTTCAAAAAAAAAATTAAATTTTTGAAAATTTGTTTATCACTTTTCTGGCTAGTTGGAAAAACGGTTTCAAAAATTATTTCAGATTAGTAATCCACGGAGAATCCTCTATGTACTTGACAGAATAGTCACATTTAACGTTTTCAAAATTAAATTTTGGAATTTTTTAAGAAATAATTGTTGAAATTTCTCGTTTGTTCGACAGGGTGTCCCAAAGACGATTGCAGATTTGTGATCTACAGAGAACTTTCTCGAAGTTAACAATATTTCCCCATCAAATAGATCGACTTTCAACATTTTCAATTTTTTCTTTGAAAATTTTTGGAAGTTTGTTTTTTATTTTTCTCGACAGCGCGAGCAGAAGTTTCAAACCCGAATTCAGATTAATAATATGCGAAAAATTCTCTATGCACTAGCCCATTTCTCCGGCAGAATTGAGCCATATTTAACGTTTTCAAAATTAAATTTTGGAAATTTTTGGAAAACGTTTTTTCAAATTATCCGGCGATTCGACAAGGTATCGCGAAATTAATTCAGATGTGTAATCTCCAGGAAATTCTCTAGAGGCCAACGTCTTTTCCATTCAAACAGATTCACTTTTAAAATTTTCAAAAAAAAAATTAAATTTTTGAAAATTTGTTTATCACTTTTCTGGCTAGCTGGAAAAACGGTTTCAAAAATTATTTCAGATTAGTAATCCACGGAGAATCCTCTATGTACTTGACAGAATAGTCACATTTAACGTTTTCAAAATTAAATTTTGGAATTTTTTAAGAAATAATTGTTGAAATTTCTCGTTTGTTCGACAGGGTGTCCCAAAGACGATTGCAGATTTGTGATCTACAGAGAACTTTCTCGAAGTTAACAATATTTCCCCATCAAATAGATCGACTTTCAACATTTTCAATTTTTTCTTTGAAAATTTTGGAAATTGTTTTTTTTTTACTTTTCACCACAGCGCGAACAGAAGTTTCAAACCCGAGTTCAAATTAATAATATGAGAAAAATCTTCTATGCACTCACCCATTTTTCCGGCAGAATTGAGCCACATTTAACGTTTTCAAAACTAAACTTTGAAAATTTTTGGAAAATGTTTTTCACATTTCTCGTGTGTTTGACAAGGTATCACGAAACTAATTTAGATTTGTAATCTTCAGGAAATTCTCTAGAGACCAGCGTCCTTTGCGTTCAAACAGGTTCACTTTTAAAATAAAAAAAAATAAATTTTTGAAAATTTGTTTTTCACTTTTCTCGCTAGGTGGAAAAACAGTTTCAATAATTATTTAAGATTAGTAATCTACTAAGAATTCTCGATGTAGTCGACATTTAACGTTTTCAAAAATAAATTTTGGACATTTTTGGAAAATGTCTGTTGAAATCAGATCGACTTTTGACATTTTCAATTTTTTTTTTTTTGAAAATTTTGGAAATTGTTTTTTTACTTTTCACCACAGCGCGAACAGAAATTGCAAACCCGAGTTCAAATTAAAAATATGCCAAAAATCTTCCATGCACTCACCCATTTCTGCGGCAGAATTGAGCCACATTTAACGTTTTCAAAATTAAACTTTGAAAATTTTTGGAAAATGTTTTTCACATTTTTCGGCTGTTCGACAAGATATCGCGAAACGATTTCAGATTTGTGATCTTCAGGAAATTCTCTAGAGGCTAGCATTTTTTCCATTCAAATAGGTTCACTTTTGAAATTAAAAAACAAGAGAATTTTTGAAAATTTGTGTTTCACTTTTTTCGCTTGTTGCAATAAATGTAACAAATTCCGAAACAATTTTATAAACAAAATTTTGAACTAGCGAGGGTAAAATCAAATTTTAAAACTTATGAAGTGATCCGTATCAACAATTTATAAACACACTATTAATAAATTCATAAACAATTTTATAAAGAAATGATTTATAAACAAAAAAATTCAACAGGTTATATGTTTACATACATATTTTAAGCAATTTTGTAAACAAATTATTGGCAGATCAATAATTTTTAAACATATTTATAAGCAAACTATAAGAAATTCATAAACAATTTTATTAACAAATTATTCATAAAAAAATCTAATTTAAACACAATTTCAAACAAATTATTTATAAACAAAAATAAAATATAATTAAAATATTGTAAAAAAATATGGGTCCAAGGGTAAAAACTCAACACGGGCTCATAAATCACACATGCAGGATCTTTTATATTTTATGACATTTAAAGAATATTTATTCGACAGGATTTAATTTACAAGTTTACTTTGCAGCTGCACTTTTTTAATTTTTAAAAATTGGCACAAGCTTTTCGCGTTACCGCGGATTCAAAAATAATTATTTGCCGGAAACCTTGATCATAAAAAGCAGGAAATATGTAAATCGCTTTTCCCCGCGTCAACATTCCTCCACATTTGTCATCAATTATCTATAATCGAAAACGAAGATCGACTACTGACACATACATTCAACACTTCATTAACCCAAACACATGGAACGCAGCAAAACTGCCATCACAAGCTCCCACTACAAAATCTCCTCCAACTTTCTCAATACAAGGTATTTCTTTTTCGGAAAATCGCGAAACTTCCAAAACACGATAAAAACTAAGCAAATATCGCCCCCACCTATCCCAGATCCCGATTTAAATTGGGTCAAGTGCGACGCATACTTCTTCGACGTGTCATCACCAAATCAGACCAATTTGTTTTTTTATTGATTACGATCACCGTAAATTAATGTGACGGTGAGTATAAATAGATCGCGTGCGAATGGTCAATAAACACAAAATAAAGAGTCTGCGTCCAAGTCACAAAAATGTAATCTGGCTAGCTATTTTCGAAAAAAGCAGAATCATTCTCTTTTTCAAAAGTGTGACATTTGCAGATCGCGGATCTGGCAACCACCAGGTTCGGGACGCCAACGACACCGAGTCAAAATTCGCCAAAAAGGGTTCGAATGTGAGCTTTGTCTTTACCTTGGTCCTGCATTTTGAGCTGTGTGGAGTTCACCTACGGCGAAATGAAAGCATGAAAGTTGGCGAAGAAGACGCGGCACGGAGCGTCGCGACGCTCGTCGAAACCGCAACTAGAGCAACCGATACCGGCGCTGGCCGGCCAGCAACTGGTGGAACGAAACTGCTAACTCTCGTGTGGAGAGCTTCAGCGCCGTGCTATTTGCAAGTGGTGTTTGTTTATGTTGGGTTACAGTTCGATGGCTTGTGTTTGGCGAAGATGCCGATTAATGTTTGAGATAAGTAATGACTAATGAGGAAAGGAAATGATGATGAGGTGGTTGCAAAAAAAAAGATAATCATCGAGCGGTTCGTAATGGTGACGATGACAAAATAAAAGGATTGTTTTACCGGGTTTTAACTTTGTGCAATTTTTTCGTAATAGAGTATAGCGCTGACTTGTTTGACAATTTTCGAAATTAGCAACTGAATCGTCTGTTAAATTTCTTTTATTAAAACTAGCACTTGCGTTCAATTAAACGGAGTCGGAGGCTAATTAAGCTCCAAAACCATGCAATACCATAGAACTAAAATAACCTTGGACGGAATGCTGCTGTGAATCAAGAATCTAGCAATCAAAAAACAATGAGGAGTCATGGGGAGAGGATGGCCTCCAGATAAATACTGGTTTATGAGGAAGTTAATTAAGATACTTTAGAATATTCAAAGATTATTTATTTTTAAAAATATTGCTATTATTTTAAATAATTTGTGTCACCATGTACTACCAAGCAAGCAAAAAGATTCCTCTCAGGCCATTTGCAACAATTTTGTTTTGTTAATTTGTTTATAAATTATTGATGTATAATAATTAAATATAATAATATATTATTTTGCTTAAAACTTGTATATCGAATCGTTTGTATACTCATTTATAAGATAAGATTTATATCTCTGTATTCAAAATATTATCACAACATATCAGTACCACTGGTGACCTAATTAATACGTTAATAATATGAACGATTTATTTATAAAATTATTTACAAAATGTTTATCGTTCGTTCATAAATTTCTTTCTAATTTGTTTCCAAATTTGTTTATAACATTGCTTATAAATGTTAAAAACCTGTCTTTCTTTTAACAACTGTTTTGCTATCGTGTAAGGTTGATTTGGAAAAAATAAGAAAAAATAAAATTTAAATAAAAAAAAATTATATAACAAGAAAAATACTCCTATTGTTTATGAATTTGTAATAGTTTGCCTATCAATTTATTTAAAAATTGCTGATCTGCCAATACTTTGTTTATAAAATTGTTTAAAATTTTGTTGATAAGATTGTTTAACAATTAGTTTATGAAATTGTTTTTAAATTTACTTATAATAAGTAAATAAATGGTTCGTTTAATTTTTTCTGTTTATAAATCACTTGTTTATAAAATTGTTTATGAATTTGTTAATAGTTTGTTTATAAATTGTTGATACGGATCAAATTTAATTTAAATATATCTGATGTTAATTTGTTCATGTTCACAAACAATAATAACATATTGTAATTAAGCCTCTAATAAACATTATTATTATTATAAATAATTTGTTAATAGATTTGTTTAAAAATTATTGCTTTGTCGATAAAATATTTAAAACTGTTCAAAATTTTGTTAATAAAATTGCTGCTCCTAAATAATTTGCTTATAATCTCTTTCAGATTTGTAAATAAATAATTTGTCTAAAATTGTATAGAAATTTGTAAAATTTGTTTAAAAATTATCAGTTGGTTCATAATTATTCTACGACATTTCCTGAAGATTATTATAAATTTGAAATCTTTTTGCGATACTTTGTCGAACAGCCGAGAAATATGAACAAACATTTTCCAAAATTTTACAGCATTGAATTTTGAAAACGATAAATCTGGCTCAATTCTGCTAGTGCAAAAAGAAATGTTTACATACTATTAGTCTGAATTCGGTTTGAAATTTCTATTCGTGCTGTCGAGAAAAGTAAAAACAAATTTCCAAAAATTTTCAAAATAAAAAAAATTTGAAAATATTAAAAATCGATCTATTTGATGAGAAAAAAGTGCTAGCTTCAAGAGAGTCCTCTATAGATTACACATTTGAAATCGTTTTTTGCGCCCTTTTTCGAACAGACGAGAAAATTTAAACATTTTCTAAAAATTTCCCAGATTTATTTTTGAAAAGGTAGAGAATTCTTCTTAGATTACTAATTTGAAATCTTTTTAAAATTGTTTTTCTACCAAACGAGTAAATTTATTTAATTATTGGTTTGTTAATAATTATTCTATGAGATAGTTTATAATTTTGTTTAAAAATAATTTGTTTCTAATTGTTTGCAAAATTTGTTTATAAAGTTGCTAAAAATATGTTAATAAAGTTGTTTATAAATTTGTCTAAAAATAATTTGTTTATACACAACTGCAGTATAAATAACTTGTTAAGAAATTTGTACATATGTAAATTATTTGTTTATAAAAATATCTGCAAAAATTTTGCTTATAAATTTGATTATAAATATTTTCTTTATTCTCCCGGGGCCATAAAACGTCGAGGAAACATGAAAGTAGCCATTAGCTTGATGGACCCAACTGCAATATTTCCTTAGCTTACTTATTTATGAATTTTTAATACTTTACGTTGTTTAAAAATTAATGATTTCCCAATAATTTTGTTGATAAGAGTTGAAGATTAGTTTATGAAATTGTTTTTAAATTTACTTATAATATGTAAATAAATTATTTGTTTAATTTTTTTGTTTACCTATAAATCAGTTATTTATAAAATTGTTTATGAATTTGTTTCTAGTTTGTTTATAAATTGTTTATACGGATCACTTCATAAGTTTTAAAATGTACCCGCTTTATGTCTTCTTTTACAGCATTGTACAATTCTGTGACAAAGATACATATTTAAAATTTAATTTAAATACGTATGATATAATTTTAATTTGTTATTGACATATTCATAAACAATATTGACATAATATAAATATAATAAATTTGTTTAAAAATTATTAGTTTATTAATAATTATTCTACGATCGTTTATATTTTTGTTTAAGAATAATTTGTTTATAATTTGTTTAAAATTTGTAAATAAATTATTTGTTCAAAATATTGTTTAAAAATTGTTGCAAAATTGTTTATAAATTTATCTATAAATAATTTGTTTATATATAATTTAATTATAAATAACTTGTTAATAAATTTCTGTGTATGTAAATGATTCGTTTATAAAAATGTTTGCAAAAATTTTGTTTATAAATTTGGTTATAAATATTTTTTGCATTAATTTGGCAGAGGGCGAAGAAATAACTGTCGAAATAGTGTTTCCAATTTTTTCTTAGGAATGTGAAACCTTCTCGGGGGCCTAACTTTTTTTTATATGAAACTTTCTTGAATTTGCTTTGTTTAAAAATTATTGATATGTAGTAAATAAATGATTTGTTTAATTTTTTGTTTACCTATAAATCACTTGTTTATAAAATTGGTCATGAATTTGTTAATAGTTTGTTATAAATTGTTAATACGGATCGCTTCATAAGTTTTAAAATTTGACCTTATCGTCCCTATAGATCTTCTTTTTACAGCGTTGAACAATTCTGTAGTGACAAATATTTCAAATTTATTTTAAATATGTATGATATAGGCTTAATTTGTAATTGACATGCTTATAGACAAAAATGACAGACTTTAATTAAGGTACCAATAAACATTATTATTATAAACAATTTATTAATAAATTTGTTTAAAACGTATTGCTTTGTCAATAAGTTGTTTAAAACTGTTCAAAATTTTGTTAATAACATTGTTTATAAATTTGCTGCTAAATAATTTGTTTATAATCTCTTTCAAATTTGTTAATAAATAATGTCTATAAAATTGTATATCGATTTGTTTATAAATTTGGTTACAAAATTCTTAGTTTATTAATAATTATTCTACGGGATAGTTTATATTTTCATTTAAAAATAATTTGTTTATAATTTGTTTAAAATATTGTTCATAAAATTGTTGCAAAATTTGTTTTTAAAATTGTATCAAAATTTGTTCATAAATTTGTTAAAAATATGTTTATAAATTTGTCTATAAATAATTTGTTAATAAAATTGTTTGTAAATTTTTATTAGCCTGCTTATAAATTTGTTTAAAAATTATTGACCTGCCAAAACTTTGTTTATAAACTTGTTTAAAATTTTGTTGATACAAATGTTTGAAATTTACTTAGTTTACGAAATTGTTTTTAAATTTACTTGTAATATTATTTTTGTTAATAAAATTGTTTATGAATTTGTTAATAATTTGTTAATAAATTGTTGATACGGATCACTTCATAAGCTTTAAAATTTGACCTTACCCTCCCTTTATCTCCTTTTTACAGTGTTGAACAATTCTGTAATAACAAAGATTCATATTTCAAATTTAATTTAAATAGTTTTAAATTGTAATTGACAAGTTCACAAACAATGATGACATGTTGTAATTAAGGCACTATTAAACATTATTATTATAAATAATTCGTTTATAAATTTGTTTAAAGGGTGTCGATTTGTAAATAATTTATTTAAAACTGCTCAAAATTTTGTTAATAAAATTGTTTATAAATTTGTTCTTAAATAATGTGTTTACAATTACTTTCAAATTTGTTTATAAAATTGTTCGCTTATAAATTTGTTTAAAAATTATTAGTTTATTGAAAGTTATTCTACGAGATATTTTATATTTTTGTTAATATTTTGTTTAAAATATGTAAATAAATTATTTGTTTAAAATACTGTTCATAAAATTGTTGCAAAATTTGTTAATAAAATTGTTTCAAAATTTGTTCATAAAATTGAAAAAAATATGTTTATAAACTTGTCTATAAATAATAATTTGTTTAAAATTTTGTTTAAAGGTTATTTTTTATGAATAATTTGTTAATAACCTTGTTTATGAATATTTAATAGCCTGCTTATAAATTTGTTTAAAAATGTTGATAAGATTGTTTGAAAATTAGTTTACGAAATTGTTTTAAAATTTACTTGTAATATGCAAACGAATGATTCCCTTAATTATGTTTGTTAATAAATCACTTATTTATAGAATTGTTTATGAATTTGTTTATAAATTGTTAATACGGATCACTTCATAAGTTTTAAAATTTTACTCTCGCTTGATATCTTCTTTTTACAGCGTTGAACAATTCTGTAGTGACAAAGATACATATTTCAAATTTAATTTAAATAGTTTTAATTTGTAAATAATTTTTAGCAAACAATGAAACAATAATGACATATTGTAATTAAGGCACTAATAAACATTATTATTATAAATAATTTGTTTATAAATTTGTTTAAAATGTATTGCTTTGTCAAGAATTTATTTAAAACTGTTGAAAGTTTTGTTAATAAAATTGATTATAAATTTGCTCCTAAATAATATGTTTAAAATCACCTTCAAGTTTGTTAATAAATATTTCGTCTATAAAATTGTATATTAATTTGTAATAATTCGTTTATAAATTTGTTTAAAAATTATTAGTTTATTGATAATTATACTACGAGATACATATTTTATATTTTTGTTAATAATTTGTTTAAAATTTGTGAATAAACTATGTCTTCAAAATATTGTTTATAAAACTGTTTGTAATTTGTTTATAAAATCGTTTCAAAATTTGCTTATAAAGTTGTTAAAAATATGTCTATAAATAGTTTGTTTTAATTTGATTATAAATAACCTGTTAATTAATTTGTATATACATATGTAAATCTTTTTTTAAAGAAGGTGAAACCTTCTCAGGGACCCAACCGTTTTTTTTTAAGAATCTAAAACCTTCTGTTTATAAATAATTTATTCTTAAGTAATTTGTTTAAAAATTTGTTTATAAATAATTGGTTTGTAATTTGTTTAAAGGTTATTTTTTATGGTTGATAATAAAATTATATATGAATTTTTAATAGTTTGTTTTGTTTAAAAATTATTGATCTCCCTATAATTTACTTGCAAAATTGTTTAAAATTTTGTTGATAAGATTGTTCGAAAATTTATTCAAGACATTGTTTTTAAAATTACTCGTAATATTTTTTTTGTTAATAAATCACTTATTTTTTAAATTGTTTATGAATTTGTTAATAATTTGTTTATAAATTGTTGATATGGATTACTTCATAAGTTTTAAAATTTTACCTTATTATTTATTTTATATCTTCTTTTTACAATGTTGAACAATTCTGTAGTGACAAAGATACATATTTCAAATTTAATTTAAATAGTTTAATTTGTAATTGACAAGTTCACAAACAATAACGACATGTTGTAATTAAGGCACTATTAAACATTATTATTATAAATAATTGATTTATAAATTTGATTAAAAATTATTAGTTTATTGATAATTATTCTATGAGATATTTTATATTTTTGTTAATAATTTGTTTATAAAATCGTTTCGAAATTTGTTTATAAAGTTATTAAAAATCTTGTTTTTAACTTTATTTATAAAATGTAATTAAATAATTTTATTTATTTTTTTGTTTATAAATCATTTGTCTATAAAATTGTCAATGAATTTATTAATAGTTTGTTTATAAATTGTTGGTAAGGATCACTTCATAAGTTTTAAAATTTGACCTTACCCAAAATTCAATTTTTTTGTTTATAATTTGTTTTAAATTTTGCTTAAAGGTTATTTTTTTATGAATGTGTTAATTAATTTGTTTAAAAATGATTGATCTACCAATAATTTGTTAATAAAATTGTTTATAAATTTGTTCATAAACAACTTGTTTCAATTTTCTTTTAAGTTGTAAATAAATAATTTGTTTAGAAAATTATATATCGATTTGTTTATAAATTTGTTTGTAAAATTTGGGTTTCAAATTCTTTCAAAATTTGTTTATAAAATCGTTTCAAAATTTGTTTATAAAGTTTTTAAAAATGCGTTTATAAATTATTTATAAATTTGTCTATAAATAATTTGTTTTAATTTGATTATAAATAACCTGTTAATGAATTTGTATATACAAATGTAAATCTTTTTTAAACAAGGTGAAACCTTCTCAGGGACCCAACTGTTTTTTTAAGAACCTAAAACCTTCTGTTTATAAATAATTGGTTTGTAATTTGTCTAAAATTTTGTTTAAAGGTTATTTTTTATGAATAATTTGACAATAAAGTTATATATGAATTTTTAATAGTTTGTTTTGTTTAAAAATAATTGATCTCCCAATAATTTATTTACAAGATTGTTTGAAAATTTGTTTAAAAAATTGTTTTTAAGTTTACTTATAAAGTGTAATTAAATAATTTGTTTATTTTTTTGTTTATAAATCATTTGTCTATAAAATTGTCAATGAATTTGTTGATAGCTTGTTTATAAATTGTTGGTAAGGATCACTTCATAAGTTTTAAAATTTGACCTTACCCAAAATTCAAATTTATTTTTTGTTTATAAATAATTTGTTTTAAATTTTGTTTAAAGGTTATTTTTTATGAATAATTAATTTATTCAAATATGATTGATCTACCAATAATTTGTTAATAAAATTGTTTATAAACAATTTGTTTTTATTTTTTTTATTTGTAAATAAATTATTTGTTGAGAAAATTATATATCGATTTGTTTATAAATTTGTTTGTAAAATTGTTTATAAATTTTTGATTTACCAATAATTATTATTCTACGAAGTGGTTTATAATTTTATTTAAAAATAATGTTACTAATTTTTAAATTTGTAAATAAATTACTCGTTCAAAATTTAATTTCGTTATTAATAAACAAATTATTTGTTCAAAATGTTGTTGATAATTTGTTAAAAATTTGTAAATAAATTATTTGTTGAAAATTTTGTTTATAAATTGTTGCAAGTTTGTCAAAATTTTTTAATAAATCATTTCCTTATTCACTCAGGATCATGAAACGTCAAGAAACAAGAAAGTAACCAATCGCTTAATGGACCCAATTGCAATACTTCCTTAGTTACGCTCGAAAAGTAAAAACAACTTTTTATTGAGCGATCGAAAGCCATAGAATGAGTTGCGCTTTTTGTTTACTTTCACTTACCGCATGTGTAAATGTGTTTAACCACGTTATCGCTGCGTACATGAGTTTCATGCACAGATTTCAGATTTGTTTTCTCTTTATTTTTTCTCGATATAGAAAAATAATTAAAACTAAAATAACAATAAACAAATTTCGATCGATTACCAAGAGGAAATTTCCGACAAACAAGTTATCTCCGTCAAAAAAAAAAAAACACGAATAATTATGTTAGGTTTGCTACATATCAGTATTAATTTTTTGAAAAAAAAAAAAATGCGATTAAAACGAAAAGGGCAGTCTGGAACATTTAATTCTTGAACAAGTTGAGAAGTTATGCAACACATTATACTAGCATCGAATGACTAACTAATAAACAGAAAACAATGTTATTAAATATTAAAAAATAGCATTAACTAATGAAATTCAGTTCGTATGCTTGAGTGGAATTTCGAAGTTCGCTGTTTACCACAAAATTTGGAAATTTAGAAGAAAACAGGTATTAATTCGATGAATTTGCCTTACATCGAAAATCGATGTTCGAAAAACAATTTGCTTCTAAAATTTGAACAAAGTCGTGGCTTAGTCTAACCTCATTTAATTCACTAATAAACACACCAATACCTAAACTTAAACCAAGAAAAACTATTTAATTCAAAAAACTGTTAGATTCTCGATTCGATGTAACAGATTGTCTTCGCATTTCGTGCGCTTCCGCCAGTCTTCGTCGTCGATCGCCGAGCCCCGACTACCGCGCAATCGCCATCTGCCATTGTTACTAATTTAAGGTTATGTTTTTAGTTTTGTGTTTATTGATTTTGAGTTGAAAAACTAGGAAAATGAAATAAAACCCAGCCAAAATTTTGCTTTCTTTCGTTGGTCCGGATAAAGGGGAGCAGAATGTCGAAAGTGAAAGTGAGCAACGAGTGGAAGCGCCACGTGAAACAGGAGTACATCCGACTGAGGCAACAAAAGCGGTACAAGAGGGCCGACGAGGTGAAGTTGGCCTGGAATCAGAACAGGATGAAGATGACGGAGAGCTTGATAGCGGAGCAGAAGAGGTGGACGGACAGCAAGGCTTGCTGGGTGCCTCTTCCGGACATCCCCTCACATGTGACTTGTATGAAGAAGGCCGAAGTGATAGGGAATGAAGGTGAGGGGTTTGGGCAAGCAGCCACGGTTTCATTAATATTGCTACAGTTATTATTATGACTAAATGCATATTATTATAATTACAAAAAAAAATAACGCGGCGGAAATTTTAAATTTTTCGAGCTTGAATAATCTTGTCTTTTTTTTCCAAATAATCCCAGATGATATAGGAGCGGGTAAAAACATTTTAGTCTGCCTGTTCTCGCAGATCAATGAAAATGCTAACAGTATGAAAAAATCTTTTCTTGAAAACAATATTATCCGTTCATGATCTTTAGATAGTAAAGTAGGCTTTGATATTTTTTCTTTAAGTTGGATAAACTGATTTTGATTTAGTTTTTTCTCTGTCAGAAGTCTGATTGACGTTTGCTTTGAGCTGGATTGCCACTTTTCTACTTCATGTATTAGATCGGAATTACTAGACGCAATTTTTAATCTTTCGATTTTTCAAATTTTCGTTTCTTCAAATTTTCATGTTTGATTTTCACTTTTGACCTTTTTCAAGTTTTCATCATAAACTTTTTCGATTTTTCACATTCTCAGTTTTTAATTTTTGTCATTTTCAATTTTTCAAGTTCTCGATTTTTATTTTTCATTTTCCCGATTTTTTTAATTTTCATTTTCTGGATTTTATGTCACAAATTTTCATTTTTTCAATTGCTTTATTTTTTGTTGTTTCTTTCGATTTTTCAATTTTTCGTTTTTCGTTTCCACAATTTTTCATGTTCCCGATTTTTATTTTTCAATGTGGCGAATTTTTAATTTTTATTTCCTCGATTAATATCACAATTGTCCGTTTTTTCATTTCCTTTATTTTCTGTGTTTTTTCTTTTCGATTTTACAATTTTTCATTTGTTCAATTTTTATATTTTTCACTTTGCAGTTTTTGGATTTCCAGTCTTTCGATTTTCCAATTTCTTTAATTTTAAATATTTCTATTCCATAATACATATTTCTTTTTTTTTTGATTTTTCACTTCTTCGTTTCTTCAAATTTTCATGTTTGATTTTCACTTTTGACCTTTTTCAAGTTTTCATCATAAACTTTTTCGTTTTTTTATTTTTGATTTTTCAATTTTACAGTTTCTCATTTTTCACATTCTCAGTTTTTATTTTTTGTCATTTTCAATTTTTCATTTCCTCAATTTTTCAAGTTCTCAATTTTTATTTTTCATTTTCCCGATTTTTTTAATTTTTATTTTCCGGATTTTATGTCACAAATTTTCATTTTTTCAATTCCTTTATTTTTTGTTCTTTCTTTCGATTTTTCAATTTTTAGTTTCTTCAATTTTTCGTATTTTCAGTTTCTCAATTTTTCGTTTCCACAATTTTTCATGTTCCCGATTTTTATTTTTCAGTATGGCGAATTTTTAATTTTTATTTTCTCGATTTATATCACAATTGTCCGTTTTTTCATTTCCTTTATTTTCTGTGTTTTTTTTTTCGATTTTACAATTTTTCATTTGTTCAATTTTTATATTTTTCACTTTGCAGTTTTTGAATTTCCAGTCTTCCGATTTTACAATTTCTGTAATTTTAAATATTTCTATTCCTTAATACATATTTCTTTTTTTTTATTTTTCACTGTTTCGATTCTTAAGATTTTTCGATTTTACAATTTCTCGACTTCCAAAATTTTCAATTTTTCGTTCCTTCAATTTTTCCTTTCTTCAAATTTTCATGTTTGATTTTCACTTTTGACCTTTTTCAAGTTTTCATCATAAATTTTTTCGTTTTTTTATTTTTGATTTTTCAATTTTACAGTTTCTAATTTTTCGATTTTTCATATTCTCAGTTTTTACTTTTTGTCATTTTCAATTTTTCATTTCCTCGATTTTTTAAATTATCATTTTCTGGATTTTGTTACAAATTTTATTTTTTTCAATTCTTTCATTTTTTGTTCCTTTCGATTTTTCAATTTTTCGTTTCTTCAATTTTTCGAATTTTCAGTTTTTCGTTTCTTCAATTTTTCGAATTTTCAGTTTCTCAATTTTTCACAATTCACAATTTTTCATAATTTTTCATGTTCCCGATTTTTATTTTTCAATTGACGAATTTTTAATTTTTATTTTTTCGATTTAACAATTTTTCATTTGTTCAATTTTTCAAATTTTCAGGCTTTGAATTTTCAGTTCGTCCATTTTTCAATTTTTAAATTTTTCACTTTGCAGTTTTTGGATTTCCAGTCTTCCGACTTTCTAATTTCTTTAATTTTAAATATTTCTATTTCATAAAACATATTTCTTTTTTTTGATTTTTCACTTTTTCGATTCTTCAGATTTTTCAAGTTTTCATTTTGTAATATTTCGTTTTTTATTTTTGATTTTTCAATTTTACAATTTCTCGACTTCCAAAATTTTCAATTTTTCGGTTTGCATCAGTTTTTCAATTTGGCACTTCAATATTACAGATTTTCATTTTTCGATTTTTTAATTTTCACTTTTTTTATTTTATATCACAATTTTGATTTTTTTGATTTCCTTTATTTTTTGTTGTTTCTTTCGATTTTACAGTTATTCTTTTATTAAATTTTTCAAAATTTCACGTTTTTAGTTATTTTTCTTCATATTTTCAAGTTTGATTTTCACTTTGTACATTTTCAAGTTTTTATTATTCACTTTTTCGTTTTTTTATTTTTGATTTTTCAATTTTACAATTTGTCGACTTCCAAATTTTCCAATTTTTCAATATGACAATTTCTCATTTTTCCATTTTTTACATTCTCGATTTTTAATTGTGCCCTTTTTCAATTTTCCGTCCCTCAATTTTTCAACTCCCCGATTTTTGTTTTGCATTTTCCTGATTTTTTGTTTTTCATTTTCTCGATTTTATATCACAATTTTTTTGTTTTTTCATTTCCTTAATTTTCGTTGTTTCTTTCGATTTTTTAATTTTTGGTTTCTTCAATTTTTCGTTTCCACAATTTTTCATGTTCCCGATTTTTATTTTTCAATGTGGCTAATTTTTAATTTTATTTTCTCGATTTATATCACAATTGTCCGTTTTTTCATTTCCTTTATTTTCTGTGTTTTTTTTTTCGATTTTACAATTTTTCAAATTTTCAGGCTTTGAATTTTCAGTTCGTCCATTTTTCAATTTTTAAATTTTTCACTTTGCAGTTTTTGGATTTCCAGTCTTCCGATTTTCCAATTTCTTTAATTTTAAATATTTCTATTTCATAAAACGTATTTCTTTTTTTTTTATTTTTCACTTTTTCGATTCTTCAGATTTTTCAAGTTTTCATTTTGTAATTTTTCGTTTTTTATTTTTGATTTTTCAATTTTACAATTTCTCGACTTCCAAAATTTTCAATTTTTCGTTCCTTCAATTTTTCGGTTTGCATCAGTTTTTCAATTTGGCAATTTTTCAATATTACAGATTTTCATTTTTCGATTTTTCAGTTTCTCAATTTTTAATTTTTCCCTTTTCCAATTTTTCGTTTGCGATTTTTATTTTTCATTTTCCCGATTTTTTAATTTTCACTTTTTCGATTTTATATCACAATTTTTCGTTTCTTCATTTCCTTTATTTTCTGTGTTTTTTTTTTCCATTTTACAATTTTTCGTTTGTCCAATTTCAAATTTTCAGGCTTTGAAATTTCAGTTCGTCCATTTTTCAGTTTTTAAATTTTTCACTTTGCAGTTTTTGGATTTCCAGTCTCCCGATTTTACAATTTCTTTCATTTTAAATATTTCTATTTCATAATACATATTTCTTTTTTTTCACTATTTCGATTCTCAAGATTTTTCAAGTTTTCATTTTGTAATTTTTCGTTTTTAATTTTTGATTTTTCAATTTCACAATATTTCGTTCCTTCAATTTTCCGGTTTGCGTCAGTTTTTCAATTTGGCAATTTTTCAATATTACAAATTTTCATTTTTCGATTTTTCAATTTATAATAATAATAATAATAATAATAATAATAAAAGCGTTTATTGTTCTACAAAAGAGACAATGTGAGAACAAAAGGTTCGGCTACAGCTCAACGCTGATACATTTCTAAGAACCAAACCCGTAAATACAAACAAGAGTATACAAAATAAAATAAGACGAGAAAAAAGAAACACATTAAAATTTTATTGTGTCAATGTTGAAATTATTGGTCAAAATTTGTTTATTTATTTTGTTTTTAAGATTAAAATTAGAGTACCCACATGCTAACTCAGGGCACTTATTGAAAACGTAACTAGCCAAGTAAGAAAATGAAGTTTTAAACATTGACATTTTATGCGAAGGTATATCAAGTTGTGCATCGACAAATCGTAATTTTCTGGAATGAACTTGACTTCTTTTCAATATTTTATCGTAAAGATAAACTGGTGCATGTTCCTTTAAGACACTGTTAAGAAAACAACTGTAATGAATACAACGTTGTTCGTTCATTTTAAGTAAACCAAAAGATCTCAAATATGGAGTAATATGATCACCAAAAGGAACATTTGTAATAAATCTAATGCAGTTGTTTTGAATTTTTTGAAGCTTTGCTTTGTCATTTATAGTAAGGCAAGGACCATACAATTGATCGCAATAATTGAGGCGTGATAAAATCAACGAATTCATAAGCAAAAGTTTAGTTTTTTCATTTAAAATATGTTTTAGAGGAATAAGTTGCCTAAATTTTAAGTAACACTCTCTACAGATATGAGACACATGAGAGGAAAATGTTAATTCAGAATCGAATATAACCCCAAGATTTCTAACCTTGTCTACGTACTCTATTTTTTCATTATTAATAGTAATTTGAAGACTGACGCCTGAAAGTTTATGTGATGTGCCAAACAAGATATTGTGACACTTTTTTGTGTTAATCAATAATGAATTTGATGATGTCCATTTGTAAATCTCGTTTAAGTCATGATTGATCTGTTCTTGAGCACGTAATACTTCACAGGGAGGGAAACTTAAAAATAATTGAATATCGTCGGCGTATAGATGAATTTTACAAAACTTTGGCATATAAACGATGTCAGATATAAAAACGGAAAAAAGTAGAGGGCCTAATTTGGAGCCTTGAGGAACCCCATTGCTAACTCTGCGCTCACTAGAAAAAACTTGACCTTCAGTTGTATTTAAACGACAGACTTGTTTACGATTGTATAAATAGCTTCTGAACCAATCAAAGTTTGGATTACAGATACCATAATAGTAGAGCTTTTCTAATAAACAGTCTATGTTCAATGAGTCGAACGCTTTGGTTAAGTCTAATAACGTTACAGAAGTTAAATTTCCTAAATCTATATTGCTAATTATATGATCTGTTAACGACACAAGTGCAGTAGCGGTACTATGACATTTACGAAAACCTGATTGAACCGGTGGTATGATGTTTTTGGAATTAATAAATTCACTAAGCTGCTGATAAATAACAGACTCAGCAATCATCAAAGCAACAGGCTGAATGCTAATGGGCCTCATGTCATTCAGAGATGTAAATTTATTCTTTTTTGGTATGGGAGTTACGCATGAAGTTTTCCATAATTTGGGAACATAACCATTTTCAAAACTGAGGTTAATGATGTGTGTCAAGGGGGCACTAACAAATGGCAAAGCAATCCTCAACATCCTACCAGAAATACCGTCATATCCCATAATAGAAGGTTTTAATTTCAGTATTGCTTCTTCAATTTTCTCTACTCCCACAGGTGAAAATACAAAATTACTGTCATTAGAAAAATTTGTACGGTTAATGTAATCACGAAAGCTAGATGTTGTAGTGACCGCAGGAACAGAATTTATAAAATAGTTGTTTATCTGGTCAGCATTAGCTAGTTCAGGAGGTATGGTTTCATTATTTTTACTTGCTATTATATTAGAGTTCCGTAAAGTTGCCCAAAATTTTCTTGGATTATTTTTACAATTCTGTGTAAAGTTGTATGTCATAAAACCACGTTTTTCTTGCTCTAGTGCAATATTATAAAAATTTCTTAATTCACAATAGTACCTTTTATGTTGTTCAAGCTTTGTCCTACAAAAATGATTCCAAGCTTTCCTTTTTAGGATTCTCAGTTTTCTAAGATTGTGAGTATACCATGGTTGATGAGATCTTTTAGTTTTATGACAACAGATTCTTAATGGAGCATGTACGTTAAAAATACTTAAAATGCATTCGTTAAAATATTTAACTTTTTCATCTAAGTCTGGCAACATATATATTTGATTCCAGTTAATTCTCTCAGCATCCTTGGAAAATTCATTTATGTCCAAATTTTTAAAACTTCTAGTAATTTTATGATTAGTTATCTCGTTATAATTATTAAAATCTACTATACAATGAATATTGTTGTGGTCGGCTAGTGCAAGATCAGATACCCAAGACTTAATAATTTCAACATTTGAACTAACAATAATTAGATCTAAGAGAGATTCGCTATCCTTGGTAATCCGTGTGGGATCATTAATTAATTGGTTACAATCAAGTTCAAATAACAAAGATTTTAGAAATTTGCTACCAGGAGAATCAACAAGCAAATCAACATTGAAGTCACCAATAAATATAAAATCAAGTTTTTTAAGAGTCAAAAAATTTATAATATCTCCTAGCAAATTTAGATTGTTAAAATTAATATCAGGTGGTCTGTAAAATGTACCTACGGCAATCTCTTGTGAGTTTATCTTAAGTTTAATTAATAAGTATTCAATAGAGCTATCAGAAATTTCATCCGAACAAAACTTTAAAATTTCAAATTTAAGAAAAGACTTAACATATAAAGCAACACCTCCACCTACTGTGGCACGATCCTTGCGAATGATGTTGTAGCCTGGCAAGCTAAAAGTATCGTCTGGAACATCCGGTGGAAACCATGTTTCACTGACGCCTATGAGGGAATAATCATGTTGGAGTACTATGTCTTTGAACTTGTGAAATTTGTTACACAAGGATCTTGCGTTCAGGTGAGTAATAGCTAGGCCACTTGGTTTTGATTCGTGCGCTTCCAAAAAAATTTATTGACAGTTACTCCAGAAGGCCAAAAGTTTGGATCCATTACAGATTCAGTTAATGAATTTCTCAATTTTTAATTTTTCCCTTTTCCAATTTTTTGTTTGCGATTTTTATTTTTCATTTTCCCGATATTTTAATCTTCATTTTTTCAATTTTATATTACAATTTTTCGTTTTTTCATTTCCTTTATTTTCTGTGTATTTTTTTTCGATTTTACAATTTTTCATTTGTTCAATTTTTCAAATTTTCAGACTTTGAATTTTCAGTTCGTCCATTTTTCAATTTTTAAATTTTTCACTTTGTAGTTTTTGGATTTCCAGTCTTCCGATTTTCCAATTTCTTTAATTTTAAATATTTCTATTTCATAATACATATATTTTTTTTTATTATTTTTCGCTTTTTCGATTCTTAAGATTTTTCAAGTTTTCATTTTGTAATTTTTCGTTTTTTATTTTTGATTTTTCAATTTTACAATTTCTCGACTTCCAAAATTTTCAATTTTTCGGTTTGCATCCGTTTTTCAATTTGGCAATTTTTCAATATTACAGATTTTCATTTTTCGATTTTTCAGTTTCTCAATTTTTAATTTTTCCTTTTTCCAATTTTTTCTTTGCGATTTTTATTTTTCATTTTTCCGATTTTTTTATTTTCACTTTTTCGACTTTATATCACAATTTTCCTTTTTTTTTATTTCCTTTATTTTTGTTGTTTCTTTCGATTTTACAATTTTTCCTTTATTAAATTTTCCAAATTTTCAGGTTTTTGGCAATTTTTCTTCAAATTTTCAAGTTTGATTTTCACTTTGTACATTTTTGAAGTTTTTATTATAGACTTTTTTGTTTTTTTATTTTTGAATTTGCAATTTTACAATTTGTCGACTTCCAGATTTTCCAATTTTTCAATATTACAATTTCTCATTTTTCCATTTTTCACGTTCTCGATTTTTAATTGTGTCCTTTTTCAATTTTCCGTCCCCTCAATTTTTCAACTCCCCGATTTTTATTTTGCATTTTCCAGATTTTTTATTTTTCATTTTCTCGATTTTATATCACAATTTTTTGCTTTTTCATTTCCTTAATTTTTGTTGTTTCTTTCGATCTTCCAATTTTTCGTTAAACTTTAGATTTCTCAAATTTTCGATTTCTTTTTTTTTCAACTTTTCGATGTTTTAATTTTTCTTTTTTAAAATTTTTCATTTTTTTTTATTTCTCGATTTATCGAATTCAGATGTTTGGATGTTTCGATTGTTCAATTTCTCAATTTTTTTCTATTTCTCGATGTTTCGATTTTTGGATTTCTCGGTTTTTCGATTTTCTAATTTTTCGATGTTTCGATTTTTCAGTTATCCGATTTTTCAATTTTTTTAGATTCTGGAGTTTCGATTTGTCGATTTTTCAGTTTTTCCATTTTTAAGTTTTAGATTTTCGAATTTTTCTTTTCTGATTCTTTGATGTTTGGACTTCTCTATTTTTCAATGTTGCGATATTTCAATTGTTCAATGTTTTAAATTTTAGATTTTTCGATTTCTGGATTTTTTGATTTTCCAGTTCTTCGGTATTTCTATTTTACAATTTTTCAAATTTTGACGTTGCTAAATTTTCAGTTTTCCGATTTTTCGATTAATATATATTTTTTTTATTTTCCCGCTTCTCGAATTCGCAGTTTCGATTTTTCAGTTCTTCAATTCTTCAGTTTTTCGTTTTTTAAACTTTAGATTTTTCAATTTTCGACTGTTTTATATATATTTCGATTTGTGAATTTTTCGAATTTTCAGTTCTTGTATATTTTAATTTTTCTTTTTTCCGAATTTTTCAATTTTCCAATTTTTTAAATTTTCTAGTTTTGACATTTCTGAATTTTCAGTTTTCCGATTTCTCAATTAATCTATTTTTTGATTTTTCGTTGAATTTTGTGAGTTTTCTCAGTTTTTCGATTCTTCGATTTTTCAATTTTGGGATTTTTTAGTATTTCGACTTTTGGATTTTTCACGTCCTGGATTTTTCGATTTCTCGACTTTTTACTTTTTGGATTTTCAGATTTTCGTTTTTCACAATCTTTCAACTTTTCGATATTTTAAGTTTTCAATTTTTAAAATTTTAAGTTTTTCGATTTCTCGAGTTTTCAGTTCTTCTATATTTGAATTTTTCAATTTTCGAAATTTAAAGTTAATTATAAGTTACTTTTTTAAAAGACACATTAGAAGAACACGAACAAACAGAGTAAGATACGGTACTAATAAAAATACGGGGTGTGAGTGAGAATTTAGAAATTTGGCGTGAACGGATAATAATTGTAATTTTCTTAATAAAAGGATTTTTTCATTATTCGTCTGTCCTTTATTGATCTATGGGGAAAACCACCCAATGTCGACTCGTATTCACAATTTTTGTTGCGACAGGGGACATCCAGGTAACACCCATCCGCATAATCAACGCCGTGACGCCCATCCCGACCATGTACACGTGGGCACCCATCCAGCAGAACTTCATGGTAGAAGACGAAACGGTCCTCCACAATATCCCATACATGGGCGACGACCTGCTCGATCAAGACGGTACTTTCATCGAAGAATTAATCAAGAACTACGACGGTAAAGTCCACGGTGATCGGGAGTCGGGGTTCATCGACGACGAATTATTCGTGGAACTCGTGCACGCTCTGATGCAGTACCAAGAACCAGACAAACCGGAGAAGAAAGACAAAGACAAAGACAAGAATAAAGAAGACGAGAAGAAAAAGGTTCCGGATTTTCCGGCGTATATTATTTTTCAAGCGATATCGTCGCAGTTTCCGGATAAAGGAGACCCGGAAGAATTGAGGGAGAAGTGAGTTCTCTGATTACTAGTTTAGACGAACTAAATGAATTGATGTTTGAATTTAGGTACATTGAGCTGACTGAGCGGACTGACCCCAACGCGCCCCCCGAGTGTACCCCCAATATCGACGGTCCTAATGCGGCCTCGGTGCCTCGAGAGCAAACCATGCATTCGTTTCACACTTTGTTCTGTCGGCGGTGCTTCAAATATGACTGTTTTTTGCATCGTAAGTATTGTCTGAGGTGGGTTGGGGTTGTTTGGTTGTCGATTAGAGGGTAGTTTTTTTGAGGAGTTGACGCCTGCTATTCAGGTTGTTTCTGTTTTGCTGCACTGCAGGACAACAAGGTAAGGTCTCCAGACCTTTCAGCATTCATTCATGAATCATTTCATTGCGGGGAATTGGAATTTTTGGGTACGTTTACAGCGAAAGTTTTTTCTTTGCTCAATGGACAGTTCTTGGCCACGTGTCACAAAAATAGGGCGCCATTTTTGAATTAGCCTATAATAATGCGCGATGAGGTGGCGCTAAATACAAAATTCGCGCCATGGCCAACTAACAATAGGTGTCTGGTGGGTATTTGATTGATTCGGCTAACCTCAAAAATTCGTTGGGGAACTAGCGCTATCTACTGTAATTTTCTTTAACGAAACAGAGGAGTCGTAAAAGTTCATCTTTTTATAAAAAAAGCGGTGGTTTTGATTGACTGAAGGCAACAATTTTGCCAGTTTTGAAAATTTATAGTCGAAAGATCGAGCAATCGAAAACATCAAAAATTGAAAAAACCAGAAATTGACAACTTCCCAAAATTGAAATGTTGAAAAATAAACTTGAAAAATATTTTAAAAATGGAAAAAGCAGATGTAGAAATCGAAACATATGAAATTTAAAAAATCGAGACATCGAGAAGTGGAAATAACCGAGAAATGAAAAAATTCAAAAACCGAAAATTCAAAAGATCGAGCAGTAGAAAACAAAAAAATGAAAAATTCAGAAATTGAAATGTTTGAAAAATTGAGAAATAAAATATTTGAAAAACATTTTAAAAACCGAAAAAACGAGATGTAAGAAATCGAAACATCAAAAAATCGAAAAATGTAACATTTGAAAATCAAACATCAAAAGATGAAGAAATCGAAAAGTCGAAATAAGAAGAAATCGGTTAATCGGAAAATGGAAATATTATAAAATTAAAAAATCCCGAAATTGAAAAATTCCCAAAATTAAAATGTTTAAAAAATGAAAAAATTGAAAAACCGAAAAGTTGAAAAACCGAGTAATCGAAAATCCAAAATTTGAAAATTGGAAAAATTGAAATATCAAACAACTGAAAAATCGGAAAGTGGAAGAATCGAAAAACAGAAAAAACAGGAAATTGAAAAATTCTAAAACTGAAATGAAAAATTGAAAAATAAAAAAATCGAAAAATTAAAATTCCAAATGAAATGACGAAAAATTGATAAATGGAAAAATTAAAAAATCCAGACATCGAGAAGTGGAAATTTCTGAGAAATCAAAAAATTCAAAAACCGAAAATTTAAAAAATCGAGCAGTGGAACACAAAAAAACTGAAAAATTCGAAACATCAAAAAATCGAAAAATGTAACATTTGAAAAATTGAAAAATCAAAAATTTAAAAATTCGAAAAATTTAAAAATTCCAAAAAATTAGAAAATTGAAACATTAAGAACTCGAAACATCAACAGATGAAGGAATCGAAAAATCCAGAGATGTGTCGAGCTCTCGATTTTTCAATTTTTCGATTTCTCGGTTTTTTCACTTCTCGATGTTTCGATTTTTTAATTTTTTCATTTCCCAATTTTTCGTCATTTCAGTTGGAATTTTTAAATTTTTCGATTTTTTAATTTTTTAAATTTTAAATTTTTCGATTTTTTGATGTTTCGAGTCTTCACATCTCGGTTTTTCGATTTTAAAAATGTTTTTCAAGTATTTGATTTCTAAATTTTTCAACATTTCAATTTCTAGATTTTTCAATTTTTCCACTTTTCGATTTTCCAAATTTTTTAATTTTTTATTTTTTCAGTTTTTTTATTATTCAATTTTTCGATTTTTTAAATTTTACATTTTCAATTTTTCGTTCTTACGATTTTTTGATGTTTCTTTTTCTTGATATTTCGGTTTTTCGATTTTAAAATTTTTTCAACTTTTCGATTTTTATATTTCTCGATTTTTCAAGCTTTTCACTTTTCAGTTTCTGGATTTTAATTTTTCATATTTTAATTTTTCGATTTATCGATTTTTTTACTTTAAATACTCCAATATTTAACTTTTCGAAATTTGGCTAATTTCGACATTTCAATTTTTCGATTTTTCTCTCGACTTTTCGATTTTCCAATTTTTCAGTGTTTCAATTTTTTAAATTTTCAATTTCTCGGTTTTTCAATTTTTCCACTTTTCGATTTTTCAGTTTTTTAATTTTTAAATTTTTAAATGTTTCGATTTCTCGATTTCTCATTTCTTCGATATTTCAATTTTTGAAATTATTAATTTTTGATTTTTCAGTTTTTTGATTATTCAATTTTTCGATTTTTTAAATTTTACATTTTTCAATTTTTCGTTCTTACGATTTTTGCTTGATATTTCGGTTTTTCGATTTAAAAAATGTTTCAACTTTTCGATTTTTATATTTCTCGATTTTTCAAGCTTTTCACCTTTCAGTTTCTGGATTTCAATTTTTCATATCTTAATTTTTCGATTTATTGATTCTTTCTACTTTAAATCTTTCAATTTTTAACTTTCCGAATTTGGCTTATTCGACATTTCAATTTTTCAATTTCTCTCTCCACTTTTCAATTTTCCAATTTTTTTAATCTTGTGGGAGTTTTTCAATTTCCAGATTTTTAAGTTTTTCAAAATTTTCATTTTTTGATTAATTGATTTTTTTTTATTCTGGAATTTTTTAACTTTTCGATTATGGCTTATTTCGTTTTTTTTTTATTTTTCCATTTTCCCAATTTCTCGTCATTTCAATTTTGGAATTTTCCAATTTCTTCATATCTCTGTTTCTCGATTTTCCGATGTTTCAATTTTTCCGATTTTAAAATTTTTGGTTTTTACGATTTTTTTTCGATTTCTTGACATCTCGGTTTTTCGATTTTTAAATTTTTATGTTGTTCGATTTTGCAAGTTTTCAATTTTTCAATTTTCTTTTTAACTTTTCAATTTTGGTTTATTTCGATTTCTCCCGCTTTTGATGTGTCGAGCCCTCGATTTTTCAATTTTTCGATTTCTCGGTTTTTTCACATCTCAATGTTTCGATTTTTTAATTTTTCCATTTTCCCAATTTCCCGTCATTTCAGTTTTGGAATTTTTCAATTTCTCCATATTTCTGTTTTTCGATTTTTTAAGTTTTCGATTTCTCGGTTTTTCAATTTTTCCACTTTTCGGATTTTAAAAATTTTCGTTTTTACGATTTTTTGATGTTTCGATTTCTTGACATCTCGGTTTTTCGATTTTTCAAGTTTTCAATATTTTCATTTTTCGAAATTTTGTAATTTTTAACTTTTCAATTTCTCCATCTTCTGATGTTTCGAGTTCTCGATTTTTCAGTTTTGGAATTTTTCAGTTTCTCGGTTTTTCTTTTTTTCGATTCTTTCATTTTCCAATGTTTCAATTTTTTGATTTTTTGAACATTTTAATTTTGAGAATTTTTCAATTTCGGGATTTTTTAATTTTTCAATATTTCCATTTTCCGATGAACCGATTTCTTCTTTAAATTTTTCGATTTTGACTTAAATTTCGATTTTCTAATTTTTCAATTTCTCAATTTTTCATTTCACTTTTGGAATTTTTCAGTTTTTCGAATTTTAAAGTTCTTAATTTTTGAATTTTTCAAATGTTACATTTTGTTTTGATTTCTTACATCTCGGTTTTTCGGTTTTTAAAATTTTCGATTTCTCAATTTTTCAATTTTAGGAAGTTTTCAATTTCTGGATTTTTCAGTTTTTTTGTTTTCTACTGCTCGATCTTTTGAATTTTCGGTTTTTGATTTCTCGGTTATTTCCACTTCTCGATGTCTCGATTTTTTAATTTTTCCATTTCCCAATTTTTCGTCATTTCAGTTGGAATTTTTAAATTTTTCGATTTCTTAGATCTCGGTTTTTCGATTTTAAAAATGTTTTTCAACTTTTTGATTTCTTAATTTCTCACCATTTCAATTTCTAGATTTTGCAATATTTTCATTTTTCGATTAATCGATTTTTTTTAATTTTTTAATTTTCAACTTTTCGATTTTGGCTTATTTCGATTTCTCCATCTTTTGATGTTTGGAGTTCTCGATTTTTTAATTTTGGAATTTTTCAATTTCTCGATTCTTCCATTTTCCGATGTTTCAATTTTTCGATTTTTTAATTTTTCAATATTTCAATTTTCCGATTAACCTATTTCTTCTTTACAATTTTCAATTTTCAACTTTCCAATTTTGGCTTATTTCGACTTCGTTCTCCATTTTTAGATTTCTTCATCTTTTGATGTTTCGAGTTCTCGATGTTTCGATTTTTTAATTTTTCAATTTCCCAATTTTCATTTCAGTTTTGGAATTTTTCAATTTCTCGTTTTTTTCTGTTTTTCGATTCTTCCATTTTTCGATTTTTCAGCTGTTTAATATTTCAATTTTTCGAATTTTAAAATTTTGGATTTTCGATTTCTCGGTTTTTCAACTTTTCGATTTTTCAATTTTTTCATTTTTTAAATATTTTAATTTTGGGAATTTTTCAACTTTTCAAAAGCTAAAAATTCCAGAATAAAAAAAAATCAATTCATCAAAAAATGAAAATTTTGAAAAACTTAAAAATCTGGAAATTGAAAAATTCCCAAAAGATTAAAAAAATTGGAAGATTTAAAGTAGAAAGAATCAATAAATCGAAAAATTAAGATATGAAAAATTGAAATCCAGAAACTGAAAAGTGAAAAGCTTGAAAAATCGAGAAATACAAAAATCGAAAAGTTGAATAATTTTTAAAATCCAAAAACCGAAATATCTAGATAAAGAAACATCAAAAAATCGTAAAAACGTAAAATTGAAAAATGTAAAATTTAAGAAAAAAGCAAAAATGTATAATCAAAAGATGAAAAATAAAAAATAAAAAATTTGAAAAATTGAAATATCGAAGAAACGAAAAAACGAGAAATCGAAACACAAAAATTTTAAATTTAAAAATCAAAAAATCGAAAAGTGGAAGAATTGAAAAACCGAGAAATGTCGAAAAGTTAAAAATTGGAGGATTTAAAGTAAAAAAAAAACGGTAAATCGAAAAATTAAAATATGAAAAATGAAATCCAGAAATTGAAAAGTTTCCATTATTTAATTGGAATGTTAAAAAAATTGAGAAGTAGAAAGCTTGCAAAATCGAAAAATATAAAAATCGAAAGGTTGAAAAATTTTTAAAATTAAAAAATTGAAAAATGTAAAATTTAAAAAATTGAAAAATTTGATAATCAAAAAACTGAAAAATGAAAAATTTAAAAATATAAAAAATTGAAATATCGAAGAAATGAAAAATCGAAAAATCTAAAATTAAAATAAAATTTAAAAATTCAAAAATTGAAACACAGAAAAATCGAAAAAATTGAAAAACATCAAGTCATTGAAAAATCAAAAGATCGAGAAATCGAAAAGTCGAGATTGAAGTTCAAAAAACCGAAAAATTGAGAGATCGAAATAAGGCAAAATCGAAAAGTTGAAAAATTGAAAAACCGAGAAATCGAAAATCCAAAATTTAAAAAATCGAAAAACTTAAGACATCGAGAAATCGAAAAATATAACATTAAAAAAAATGAGAAATTAAGAAATGGAAACATCGAAAAATTGGAAAATCTTAAAATAGAAACATAAAAATTGAAAAATTTAAAAATCGAAAAATTGAAAAACCGAGAAGTCGAAAATCCAAAATTTAAAAATTCGGGAAATGGGAAAGTTAAAAACTGAAAGATTTAAATTAAAAGCTTGAAAAGTCGAAAATTGGAAAAATTTATAAAACCGAAAAACGGAGATGTCAAGAAATAGAAAAATTAAATAAAAAAACTGAAATATCAAAAAATTCAAAAGTTCAAATATTGAAGAACGGAAAAATCGAGAAATTAAAAAATTTCAAAACTGAAATGAGGAAAAATTGGGAAGTCGGAAAATTCAAAAACTGAAACATCGAAACATCAAAAGATCGAGAAACCGAAATAGGCCAAAATAGGAAAATTGAAAAGTATAAATCGAAAATTTGAACAACCAAAAAATCGAAACATCGAAATCTCGATAAATGGAGAAATCGGGAAATCGAAATATCAAAAAAGTCAAAAATCTCGAAATTGAAAAATAGAAATGTTCAACAACTGAAAAATCAAGAAATGGAAAATCAAAAAATCGATTTTGATTTTTTCCCAAAAATCTCAATGTCTTGAAGAAAATGTTAAGTCTTGATTTTTTTTTTTTTTTTTTCAAAAATCAATAGACCTAAGGTAAAAACTTAAGACGGATTCATAAACCAGAAATGGAGGTGTACGTTATTTTATAAAATTTAAATTTACTATCGTAAAATTTGAAAATGACGTCATCGTTGGTGGGGATGATCAGACAAATTTTGGTTAGCGTTTTACCATCTGCACGATATTCCTAATACACATAAAATTTGACAACAATCGGTCTGGTAGTTTCAGCAGACGGACGAATTCAACGATTTTTTAAGGTTAGCAAAATCAAGTGCAACAGCCACATCTTAGTAAGATCTTATTGTAAACTCAGACTAAAAGAGGTCTTAGCGCTGTAAACGTACCCATTAATGGCTTGTACCTTGAATTACATTGAAAAAAATAAATGGGAGTTTTTATTTCAATTAGTATAGGGATTTTGGTGAAACACCGAACACCACGTGAAGACGGGAAAATTTTTAAAGCATAGAATCAACATTTTTTATTCATTTTCATTTATCTGCAACAACAACATTATCAACCAACCCTACACTTTACATCTTTGAAAAAATTAAAATCTGCGACTTTTTGAAGGTCTACAAGCTTGCCACCCCGGCCCTAACTTACAAAAACGCCGAGGCCCCGACCTTAAACCCTTCACGGAGCCCTGCAGCCCCGACTGCTACATGCTACTCGTAAGTAGCCGTTTCGTTCCACCCGTTCCAACCACTAACTTTAAATCAAACAAGGACTCCGTCAAGGAAAAAATGGCCGCTAAAGCCAAACAAGAAGAAGAAGCCAAAGGTAAGTCCAACGCCGAAGCCGGCCCTTCGAGCGAAGCCAAAAGCAACGGCAGCGGAAACGGCAACGGCAACGGCAACGGCAACTCCAACCCGCGCAAAGTGTGCAAGCAACAGAGCGTGGACTCCGGCAACGAAGCCAGCTCCGAGGACAGCAACGACAGCAACAAGTACAAAGGTACACTCATCCATCTCATGAACTCGCATGCTTGCTTTAATATCCCTAACCCTCGACCATGCGGCTACTAAATCACTAATACGCCTTTTTCCCAAAAGAAAAGCCCAAAAAAATCTTTTCCATAGACGCGAACGACCAGGACCAAGTCTCCACGACGACGAACTTCAGCCTCCTGGGGCTGATGGGCGCCAACGACCACAAGGAGTGGACGGGCTCGGACGAGAGTCTGTTCAGGGGGATACACAAGATCTTCTTGAACAATTATTGCGCGATCGCGCAGATCATGCTGACGAAGACGTGCCAGCAAGTGTACGAGTTTGCGCAGAAGGAGGACGCGGGGGTGCTGGACGAGGAGACCATGAGGGATTACACGCCGCCGAGGAAGAAGAAGAAGAAGCACAGGTTGTGGTCGGTGCATTGCAGGAAGATTCAGCTGAAGAAGGAGTCGAATAGCAATCACGTGTATAATTTTACGCCGTGTGACCACCAGGGGAGCTGCGACGTGCAGTGTCCGTGCATTGGGGCGCAGAATTTCTGCGAGAAGTTCTGCCAGTGTAGCTCTGATTGTGAGTATCGAGAAAAAGTTGTCTAGTAGGCCGTGAAATTTATTCGTAACTGTCAAATTTCAGTGTTGCCAACATATTTTCTTAACATTAAATTTCTCTGATTGCGAACTTATCGAATATAACACACTTTCTAGGTCAGAACAGGTTCCCAGGGTGTCGCTGCAAAGCCCAATGTAACACCAAACAGTGCCCCTGCTATTTGGCGGTCCGAGAGTGCGACCCAGATCTTTGTCAGACGTGCGGTGCCGACCAATTCGACATCTCCAAGATCACGTGCAAGAACGTGAGCGTCCAAAGAGGATTGCGTAAGCATACATATTATATCCAGGCTTCCTGATGCATCATTCACTTTAGCGGAATTATTTGTTAAATTTTTAATGTGTTGCTTGCTGTCAAGATAATGTAATAAGCTTGTTGTGGTTACTCTTATATTTAAACTGGGCTCGGGTTCTAGTTCCGACGTTAAAAATTTTGGACCTAATTTGTCAAATTTCAGTACATATTGACAAAAATTTCCCCCTAATCAAATTTTATAATTTTTCGAAAAAGCTGGGTCTGTTTTATTGTGTTTCAGGGGCGAGGGAAGTTCTGTCGATTTAACCTTCGAACAATTTTTGTGCTTCGATTTTCCGACTTCTCGATTTTTTATTTTTCAGTTTTTAGACCATTCGCTTTCTTAATTTTATATTTCTCTATTTACGATTTTTCCCTTTTCTCATTTTTAGACTACGAATTTTCGAGTTTAAAAATTTTTCAATTTCTGGAAATTCCGTTTTTTCCATATATGAATCGATTTTTCAGTTTTTCGAATTCTCAATTTTTCAATTTGCAAAATTTTTGATGGCTTCCATTTTGCGATTCCTTGAATTCTGGATTTTTGGTTTTTCAATTTTTCCATTTTCTCATCTTTTAAATTTTCGAATTTTAGACTTTGGTGGTTCGTTTTCCCGAATTTTTCATGTTTTGATTTTTCGATTTTGGTTTTTTTTGGTTTTTCAATTTTTCCATTTTCTCATTTTCAAATTTTTCTACTTTTCGATTTTTTAATTTTTCGAATTTTCTACTTTTTGATGTTTCGATTTTTGATTTATAGGTTTTTTATTTTTCCCTTTCCCCTTTCTAATTTTTGGTTTTTCGATTTTCTCATTTTTAGATTTTTCGGTGTTTCGATTTCTCAATTGCTCAGATTCTTGAGTTTTCCGATTTTTCATTCTTTTCATTTTTAGATTTTTCGATTTTCAGTTTTCCAATTTGTCATTTTTTCGATTTGCCAGTTTTCTGTGTTTAGATTTTTCGATTTCTCAATTGCTTGAATTCTTGATTTTTTTATTTTTTAGTTCTCGATTTCTAAATTCCTCGGTTTTTCGAACTTGATGTTTTGATTTTTCGGTTTCTCAAGTTTTTGATTTTTCCCTTTCCTCCATTTCAGACTACAAATTTTCGAGTTTAAAAATGTGTCAATCTCTGGAAATTTACCATTTTTCCATATGTCGATTTTCCAGTTTTTAGAATTCTCCGACTTTTCGATTTCTCGATGTTTAGATTTTTCGAATTTTTAAAGTTTTGATTTTTCAAATGTTCTATTTGCAACTTTTGATTTTTCGAATTTTTATTGTCTTGATTTTTCGATTTCTCGACTTTTTGATGCTTCGATTTTTCATTTTTTCAAATTTTCGATTTTTTAGTTTTTTGGTCTTTCAATTTCTCGAATTTCGATTTTTTAATATTTTGATTTTTCGACTTCTCGATTTGCGATTTTTCGAATTTTTATTGTCGTGATTCGATTTCTCGAATTTTTGATTTTCCGATTTTTCAGTTTTTCGATTTCTTGATTCTCTATTTTCGATTTTCGAATTTTAATGCTTTGATTTTTCTAATTCAATTTCTCGATTAACTGAATTTTTGATTTTTCTAATTTTTATTGTCTTATTTTCAGGTTTTTTTGTTTCGATTTTTCAATTTTGAATGCCATGTCGATTTTTCATTTTTCTCATTTTTAGATTTTCCGAATTTTTGCGATATGTCGATTTTTCAAAATTTCGAAATTTCAATTTTTCCATTTTTCGACTTTAGGTTTTCCCGACTTTTCGATTTCTCTGTTTGCAATTTTTGATTTTTCGAATTTTTAATTTCTCGAATTTCGACTTTTTAATGTTTTATTTCTCGATTTGCGATTTTTCGAATTTTTGTTGACTTGATTTTTCAAGTTCTCGAGTTTTTGATTTTGGTTTCTACATTTTCTCGTTTTTAGATTTTTCGGATTTTCCGATTTTTCGAATGTTTAATGTTTTGCTTTTTCGATTTCTCTAGTTTTTGATTCTTCGTTTTTCGGTTTTTTTATTCTCATTTCTAAAATTTTCGAATTTTACACTTTTTGATGTTTCGATTTTTCGATTTCTAGATTGCTTGAATTCGCGATTTCCTGATTTTTCAGATTTTCGATTCGATTCCTCGAATTTAGATTTTCCCAATTTTTAATGTTGACTTTGCGTTTTTTCAGTTTTTCGAAATCTCAATTTTTCGATTTTTCGATTCTTCGATTTCTCTATTTGTCCAGTTTTGGATGCTTCGTTTTTTCAATTTCCAGAATTTTCGTTTTTTTTTTTTTTCAATTTTTCGAATTTCGATTTTAATGTTTTGATTTGTCGACCACTTGATTTGCGATTTTTCAGTTTTTAGATTTCTCAATTTGTCGTTTTTTCGAATGTTTAATGTTTTGCTTTTTTGTATTTCCCGATTTTTGATGTTTGATTTTTCGATTTCTCGAGTTTTTGATTTTTCGTTTTTTTTTTCTTTTCTCATTTTTAAAATGTTCGAATTTTAGACTTCTTGATGTTTCCATTTTTCGGTTCCTCGAATTTCGATTTTTCGCTTTTCTCATTTTTAAACTACACGAATGTTCGAATTTAAAAATTTTTCGATTTCTTGAATCCTCCGTATTATATATCGATTTTTCAGTTTTTCAAATTTTCAATTTTTTGATTTGCTGAATTTTTTATGGCTTTGATTTTTCGATTTCTCAATTTTCAATTTCTGATTTTTAGATTTTTTGAATTTTCCAATTTTTCAGTTTTTTAATTTCTCAATTTTTTAGTTTTTCCGAATGTTGAATGTTCTACATTTTCTATTTCTCGATTTTCGGCTTTTGATTTTTTGAAACTTTATTGTCTGATTTTTCCATTCTCGAATTTTTCATTTTTCGTTTTTCGATTTTTATATTCTCACTTTTAAAATATTCGAATTTTCCGACTTCTCGATTTCTTGATTTTCAATTTCCCTATTTGTCATTTTTGATTTTTTGATTTCTCTAGTTGCAGTTTTTGATTTTTCGATTTTTTTTTTCTTGATTTTTCGATTTTTCCATTTTCTCATTTTTAGTTTTTTCGACTTTTCGATGTTTCGGTTTTCGATTTTTCAATCATTAATGTCTTGATTTTTCGATCTTTCATTTTTCTCATTTTTAGATTTTTCGAAATCTTAATTTTTCATTTTTTCGATTCTTCGATTTCCCGAATGGTCGACTTTTTGATGCTTCGATTTTTCAATTTCTCGAATTCCGATTTTTTAATGTTTTATATTTTTCGAATTTTCCGATTTTTCAGTGTTTCGATTTTTCAGTTTTTCGTTTTTTCAAATGTTTAAGTTGTTGATTTTAAGTTTTTCGATCTTTCTATTCTCATTTTTAATATTTTTGAATTTCTGACATTTTGATACTTCGATTTTTCGATTTCTAGATTGCTTAAATTCTTTTTCCAAATTTTTCCGATTTTTTAGTTACTTATTCGTTTTCTCAATTTTTTCGAATGTTTAAAGTTTTGCTTTTGCTATTTCTCGATTTTCTGTTGATTTTTCGAATTTTTTTGTCTTGATTTTTCAAGTTTTTGATTTTTCATTTTTCGATTTTTCAATTTCTAGACTTTTAGATGTTTCGATTTTTCGGTTTCTAGATTGCTTGAATTCTCGATTTTTTTTTCAGTTTTTCGATTTTTCGGTTCCTCGAATTTCGAATTTTCTATTCCTTGAGTTTTTGATTTTTCCATTTTTCCATTTTTATTTTTCGACTTCGATTTTTTGATTTTTCAAATTTTCGACTTTTTGAATTTCCTTTTTTTTGTTTCTTCAGTTTTTCGATTTGTAATTTTTCGAGCTTTCAAGTTTAAATTTTTTAGTTTTTGGACTTTCCAACTTTGGAATTTTTCATTTTTCAGTTTTTAGATTTTCCTACTTTGAAATTTTTCAACGTTTATTTTATTTTTTTTATTATCTCGATTTTTTAATGTTTTATATTTTTGGAATTTTCCGATTTTTCAGTGTTTCGATTTCTCAGTTTTTCGTTTTTTCAGATGTTTAATGTCTTGCTTTTTCTATTTCCCTATTTTCGATGTTTCATTTTTCGATTTTTTATTGTCCTGATTTTTCGATTCCTCGAGTTGTTGATTTTACGTTTTTCGATCTTTCTATTCTCATTTTTAATATTTTTGAATTTCAGACTTTTTGATATTTCGATTTTTCGATTTCTAGATTGCTTAAATTCTTTTTACAAATGTTTCCGATTTTTTAGTTACTTATTCGTTTTCTCAATTTTTCGAATTTTTTTGTCTTGATTTTTCGAGTTTTTGATTTCTCATTTTTCGGTTTCTAGATTGCTTGAATTCTCGATTTTTTTCAGTTTTTCGATTTTTCGGTTCCTCGAATTTTGAATTTTCGATTTCTTGAGTTTCTGATTTTTCGATTTTTAAATTTTTTAGTTTTTCAATATTCCAACTTTTTGAATTTTCCGCTTTTTATTTTTTCGATTTTGGTTTTTATTCATTCGATTTCTCGAGGTTTTGATTTTTCGGTTTTTCCATTTTTAGATTTTTTAACATTTCGACCTTTTAATTCTTCGAATTTTCGATTTTTTGATGTTTTATTTCGAGTTTTCAAGTTCAAATTTTTCAGTTTTTAGATTTTCCTACTTTGGAATTTTTCAACGTCTATTTTTTTGTATTATTTCGATTTTTTAATGTTTCATATTTTTCGAATTTTCCGATTTTTCAGTGTTTCGATTTTTCAGTTTTTCGTTTTTTCAAATGTTTAATGTCTTGCTTTTTCTATTTCCCTATTTTCGACGTTTGATTTTTCGATTTTTTATTGTCCTACTTTTTCGATTTCTCGAGTTGTTGATTTTACGTTTTTCGATCTTTCTTTCAATTTTTTTGTCTTGATTTTTCGAGTTTTTGATTTTTTACTTTTCGATTTTTCGATTCCTATATTGCTTGAATTCTCGTTTTATTTTTATTTTTTGATTTTTCGATTTCTCAATTTTTTAGTTTTTTCGAATGTTGAATGTTCTACATTTTCAATTTCTCGATTTTCGAGTTTTGATTGTTTGAAACTTTATTGCCTGATTTTTCCATTCTCAAGTTTTTCATTTTTCGTTGTTCGATTTTTCTATTCTCACTTTTAAAATATTCGAATTTTCCGACTTCTCAATTTTTTGATTTTTCGATTTTTTTTGTCTTGATTTTTCGATTTTTCTATTTTCGCATTTTTGGTTTTTTCGACTTTTTGGTGTTTCGGTTTTCGATTTTTCAATCTTTAATTCTTGATTTTTCGATCTTTCATTTTTCTCATTTTTAGATTTTTCGAAATCTTAATTTTTCATTTTTTCGATTTGTCGACTTTTTGATGCTTCGATTTTTCAATTTCTCGAATTTCGATTTTTTAATGTTTTATATTTTTCGAATTTTCGATTTTTCAGTGTTTCGAATTCTCAGTTTTTCGTTTTTTCAAATGTTTAATGTCTTGCTTTTTCCATTTCCCTATTTTCTATATTTGATTTTTCGATTTTTTATTGTCCTGATTTTTCGATTTCTCGAGTTGTTGATTTTACGTTTTTCGATCTTTCTATTCTCATTTTTAATATTTTTGAATTTCAGACTTTTTGATATTTCGATTTTTCGATTTCTATATTGCTTAAATTCTTTTTACAAATTTTTCCGATTTTTTAGTTGCTTATTCGTTTTCTCAATTTTTCGAATTTTTTTGTCTTGATTTTTCGAGTTTTTGATTTTTCATTTTTCGGTTTCTAGATTGCTTGAATTCTCGATTTTTTTCAGTTTTTCGATTTTTCGGTTCCTCGAATTTCGAATTTTCGATTTCTTGAGTTTTTGATTTTTCGATTTTTAAATTTTTTAGTTTTTCAATATTCCAACTTTTTGAATTTTCCGCTTTTTATTTTTTCGATTTCTCAATTTTTCGTTCTTTCGAATGTTTAAAGTTTTGATTTTTCGATTTTGGTTTTTATTCTTTCGATTTCTCGAGGTTTTATTTTTTCGGTTTTTCCATTTTTAGATTTTTTAGTATTTCGACCTTTTAATTCTTCGAATTTTCGATTTTTTGATGTTTTATTTCGAGTTTTCAAGTTCAAATTTTTCAGTTTTTAGATTTTCCTACTTTGATTTTACACTTTTTGATCTTTCGATTTCTAGATTGCTTGAATTCTCAATTTTTTTGATTTTTTAATTTTCGATTTTGGTTTTTTAATCTTTCGATTTCTCGAGTTTTTGGTTTTTCGATTTTTTTATTCCTGGAATTTTCGACTTTTTGCTTTTGTTTCTTCAGTTTTTCGATTTTCCAACTTCAGAATTTTTCAATTTTTAGATTTTGCAATTTTTGTTTTTATTTTCTTTGTCATTTCGATTTCTCAATTTTTCGTTTTTTCGAATGTTTAATACTTTGCTTCTATTTCTAGATTTTTGATGTTTGATTTTTCGTACTTTCATGGTCGTGATTTTTCGATTTCTCGTGTTTTTGATTTTTCATTTTTCCATTTATCTATTCTTACTTTTAAAATTTGCGTATTTCATCATTCTTCGACTTTTTGATGTTTTATTTCGAGTTTTCAAGTTCAAATTTTTCAGTTTTTAGATTTTCCTACTTTGGAATTTTTCAACGTCTATTTTTTTTATTATTTCGATTTTTTAATGTTTCATATTTTTCGAATTTTCCGATTTTTCAGTGTTTCGATTTTTCAGTTTTTCGTTTTTTCAAATGTTTAATGTCTTGCTTTTTCTATTTTCCTATTTTCGATGTTTGATTTTTCGATTTTTTATTGTCCTACTTTTTCGATTTCTCGAGTTGTTGATTTTACGTTTTTCGATCTTTCTTTCAATTTTTTTGTCTTGATTTTTCGAGTTTTTGATTTTTCACTTTTCGATTTTTCGATTCCTATATTGCTTGAATTCTCGTTTTATTTTTATTTTTTGATTTTTCGATTTCTCAAGTTTTTGGTTTTTCAGTTGTTCCATTTTCTCCTTTTTAGATTTTTCGACATTTCAATGTTTAGATTTTTTGATTTGCGATTTTTGTTTTTAATTTTTTTTTTATCTGGAATTTTCGAGTTTTTGATTTTTCCTTTTTTTTTATTTTTTGACCTTGATTTCTCAATTGCTCAGATGCTTGAATTTTTTATTTTTCAGTTTTTTTTTTGTACTTTTAGATTTTAGGATTTTTCGATTTCTCGACTTTTCAATTGCTCAAAATCCCGATTTTTTGATTTTTCAGTTTTTCGAATTTTCTAAATATTTTTATTTAATAGTATATATTTCTAACTTCAAAAATGACTAACATACAAACCTTCATCCCCTAGTCAACAAACCCCCGTAAGGGATGCATGCTTCTAGACCCACCCGTTTGAACTTTGTCTCGTCAGTCAGTGCGTTATAATTTTATTAGATAGATCTTCACGTATTACGCTTTTTGTCAAGTTATTTTTTATAAATACAAACTTCTCTGATATAAATAAATCTAAATCACGCAACCTTCCAGACAAACACTTGCTGATGGCGCCTTCCGACGTCGCCGGCTGGGGCATCTTCCTCAAGGACAGCGCCCAAAAGAACGAGTTCATTTCAGAGTATTGTGGAGAAATCATCTCGCAGGACGAGGCGGACAGAAGAGGCAAAGTGTACGACAAATACATGTGTAGCTTCTTGTTTAATCTAAATAATGGTAAGTATTGTATAAATTATTCATTACGCAATTTTATATTGGGATTTACAGATTTCGTTGTTGATGCTACACGCAAAGGAAACAAAATTCGGTTCGCCAACCACTCGATCAATCCTAACTGCTACGCCAAAGTCATGATGGTCAACGGAGACCACCGAATCGGGATCTTCGCAAAGAGGGCGATCCAACCCGGCGAAGAGCTCTTCTTCGATTACAGATACGGACCGACCGAACAGCTCAAATTCGTCGGAATAGAACGAGAAATGGAGTTTTTGTAATTGTTTTTTCATGTTTTATTTAAATAAAATTAGGTTTTTAATTTGGTTTTTGTGTGAAAACCCTGATGAAAAAAAAACTGCTAGTAGATGCGTTGAATATTTATTTTTGATGATGATGAGTCAGTAAAAAAATGTCAAAGTACAAAAAAGTATCGCTAATTTAAGACTAGAAAACAGTACAATGGATACGTAGCTCGGTCTCTACATTAATACCATACTTGGTACCAAAAACAGCAAAATATTTTTTTTTATAACAAGCAATGTCAAAATCGTAATTTTTCTCAGAAGAAATTTTATAACAGCGAAAAACACGAATACGAATTGCCTATACTTTGATTTTTGTATTCTCATTTTTAAAATTTTCGAATTTCAGACTTTCTGATGTTTCAATTTATAGACTGCTTGAATTCTCGAGTTTTTGATTTTTAGATTTTCCGACTTTTCCATTTTTTTGTTCTTTGAATTTTCGACTTTTAAATGTTTCAATTTTCATTTCTTTTTTTCTTCAGTTTTTCGATTTGCAGTTATTCGAGTTTTCAAGTTTAAATTTTTCAGTTTTCGATTTTGCAACTTCTGAATTTACCGATTTTTTAGTTTTCGATTTTTCAATTTTTCGTTTTTTCGAATTTCTATTGTCTTGATTTTTTGATTTTTCGTTTTTCGATTTTTTAATTCCCACTTTTAAAATTTTCGAATTTCAGACATTTTGATGTTTCGATTATTCGTTTTCTAGATTGTTTGAACTCTCGATTTTTTGATTTTTCAGTTTTTCGATTTCCTGACTTTCCGTTTTTAGATCTTTCGACTTCTCGATTTTTTAATTCTTCCAAATGTCGACTTTTTTGATGTTTTATTTTTTCTATTTTTTTATTTCTTCAGTTTTTCGATTTGCAATTTTTCGAGTTTTCAAGCTTAATTAAATTTTGCAGTTTTTCGGTTTTCTAACTATGGAATTTTTCAGGTTTTAGATTTTGCCGCCTTTTTTTATTTATTTTTTTATTCGATTTTATAATTCTTTGTTTTTCAATTTCAATTTTTCGATTTGCATTTCTCAATTTTTAAATTTTTCAGTTTTGCGATTTTCCAACTTGAATTTTCCAGTTTTTTAGGTTTTCGATTTCTCAGTTTTTCGTTTTTTCGAATGTTTAATGTTTTGATTTTTAGATTTTTCGACTATTTGATTTTTTTATTCCAATTTTCGACTTTTAAATGTTTCATTTTTCATTTCTTTTTCTTTCTTCAGTTTTTCAATTTGTAATTATTTTTTCAATTTCAATTTTTCGATTTGCATTTTTTCGTTTTTAAACTTTTCAGTTTTTTGATTTTCCAACTTGAATTTTCAAATTTTGTAGTTTTTCCATTTCTCAATTCTTCATTGTTTCGAATGTTTACTGCTTTGCTTCTTCTATTTCTCAATTTTCGATGTTTGATTTTTAAAATTTTCTAATTTCTAACTTTTGATGTTTCGATTATTCGTTTTCTAGATTGTTTGAATTCTCGATTTTTTGATTTTCCAGTTTTTCGATTTCTTGATTTTCGACTTTTCGATTTTTTAATTCTTGGAATTTTCGACTTTTGATGTTTAATTTTTTTTGTTTCTTCAGTTTTTCGATTTTCCAACTTAGGAATTTTTCAATTTTTAGATTTTGTAATTTGTGTTTTTATTTCGATTTTATTATTTTTTGTTTTTTCAATTTCAGTTTTTCGATATTCCAACTTTTGGATTTTCCGATTTTTTAGGTTTTCGATTTCTCAATTTTTTCGTTCTTTCGAATCTTTAAAGTTTTGATTTTTCGATTTTGGTTTTTAATCTTTCGATTTCTCGAGTTTTTGATTTTTCGATTTTTTGATGTTTTATTTTTCAGGTTGCTAATTTGCAATATTTCGAGTTTTCAAGTTTAAATCTTTCAGTTTTTCGATTTTCCAACTTTGAAATTTTTCAATTTTTAGATACTGCAATTTTTATTTTTATTTTGTTTATTACTTGGATTTTTCAATTTTTCGTGTTTTCGATTCTTCGATTTCTCTAGTTATCCACTTTTTGATGCTTCGATTTTTCAATTTCTTGAATTTTCGATTTTTTTTTTTAATTTTCAGTTTTTCGATCTTCGATTTCTTAATTTTCAATTTCTCGAATTTCAATTTTTTAATGTTTTGATTTTTCGACCTCTTGACTTGCGATTTTTCGAATTTTAATTGTCTTGATTTTTCGAATTTTCCGATTTTTCAATTTTTTGATTTTTCGAATTTTTATTGTCTTCATTTTTCGATTTCTCGAGATTTTGATTTTTCGTTTTTCGATTTTTTTTTCATTTTTAAAATTTTCGAATTTTAGACTGACATTTCGATTTTTCAATTTCTAGATTGCTTGAATTGTCGATTTTTCGGTTCCTCAAATTTTCGTTTTTTCGAGTTTTTGATTTTTCGATTTTTCCATTTTTAGATATTTCGACTTTTCGATTTTTTAATTCTTGCAATTTTCGACTTTTTGATGTTTCGTTTTTAATTTTTTTTTGTTGATTCTGTTTTTCGATTTGCAATTATTCCAGTTTTCAAGTTTAAATTTTTTAGTTTTTTAATGATTTTGCAATTTTTATTTTTTTCTGTTATTTCGATTTTATAATTTTTTGTCTTTTCAATTTCAATTTCTGGATTTGCGTTTTTTCATTTTTAAATTTTTCAGTTTTTCGAATTTTTATTGTCTTGATTTTTCGATTTGTCGAGTTTTTAATTTTTCGTTTTTCGATTTTTTTTCAGTTTTAAAATTTTCGCATTTTAGACTTTTAGATGTTTCGATTTCTGGATTATCGATTTTTCGGTTCCTCGAATTTCGAATTTTCGATTTCTCGAGTTTTTAATTTTTTCATTTTTATTTTTCGACTTCGATTTTTTAATTTTTCAAATTTTCCTTTTTTTTTGTTTATTCTGTTTTTCGAGTTTTCAAGTTTAAATTTTTCAGTTTTTGCATTTTCCAACTTCGGAATTTTTTGAGTTTGCAATTTTTATTTTCTTTATTATTTCAATTTTTCAATTTGCAATTTTTCACATTTAAATTTTTCAGTTTTTCGATTTCTCACTTCCTCGAATTCGATTCTTCGATTCCTCACAAGTTTTGAATTTCCGACTTTCTACCTTTTCGATTTTTGAATTTTTTGTTTTTTCGAATATCAGTTTTTTTTGCTTGATGTTTAATTTTTCGAATTTTTATTGTCTGGATTTTTCGAATTCTTGAGTTTTTGATGTCTCGATTTTTCCATTTTTAGATTTTTGGACTTTTTAATCCTTCGAATTTTCGATTTTTTGATGTTTGATTTTACTTTTTTTTCTTTTTTCAGTTTTCTAATTTGCAATATTTCTAGTTTTCAAGTTTAAATTTTTTAATTTTTCGATTTTCCAACTTCAGAATTTTCCAAATTTTTAGTTTTTCGATTTCCCAATTTTTCGTTTTTTCTTCTATCTCGATTTTCGAATTTTTATTTTTCGTTTTTTTATTCATTTTTAGAATTTTCGAAGTTTAGACTTTTTGATGTTTCGATTTCTAGATTGCTTGAATTCTCGATTTTTTTATTTTTCAGATTTTCGATTTTTTAATTCTTCGAATTTTCGACTTTTTGATATAATTTCCTTTTTTTGTTGCTTCAGTTTTTCGAGTTTGCAAGTTTAAATTTTTCAGTTTTTCGATTTTCCGACTTTGGAAATTTTCAATTTTTAGATTTTGAAATTTTTATTTTTTTAATTATTTCTATTTAATAGTTTTTTGTTTTTTCAATTTCCATTTTTCGATTTCTATTCATTTTAAAACATTTCAGCTTTGCGATTTTTCAATTTTTGAATTTTCCGATTTTTAGTTATTCGATTTCTCATTTTTCGTTCTTTCGAATGTTTAAAGTTTTGATTTTTCGATTTTGGTTTTTAATGTATCGACTTCTCGATTTTTTCTGTTTTCTTTTTGTTTTTTCACTTTTCTAATTTGCAATACTTCGAGTTTTCAAGTTTAAATTTTTTAGTTTTCGATTTTCCAACTTCTGAATTTTCCAATTTTTTAGTTTTCCGATTTCTCAATTTTTCGTTTTTTCTTCTATCTCGATTTTCGAGTTTTTATTGTCTTGATTTTTCGATTTCTCGAATTTTAATTTTTTGTTTTTTTATTCATTTTTAAAATTTTAGAATTTTAGACTTTTTGATGTTGCGATTTCTAGATTGCTTGAATTCTCGATTTTTTTATTTTTCAGTTTTTCGATTTCTTGATTTTTGATTTTTTAATTCTTCGAATTTTCGATATTTGATTTTTTTCTTCAGTTTTTCGCGCTTTCAAGTTTAAATTTTTGTTTTTCGATTTTTCGACTTTGGAAATTTTCAATTTTTTTATGTTGCAGTTTTTATTTTTGTTTTCTTATTTCTTTGTAATTGTTTTTGCATGTCTTATTTAAATAAAATTAGGTTTTTTCAAGTGAAAAGGAAGTATGAAGAAAACTACTAGTACATGCGTTGAATATTTTCTTTTGATTTTTTCAAATTTTCGACTTTTCGATTTTCCTTTTTTTTGTTTCTTCAGGTCAGGTCAGGTCAGGTCAGGTCAGGTCAGGTCAGAATTTTCGATATTTGATTTTTTTCTTCAGTTTTTCGCGCTTTCAAGTTTAAATTTTTGTTTTTCGATTTTTCGACTTTGGAAATTTTCAATTTTTTTATGTTGCAGTTTTTATTTTTGTTTTCTTATTTCTTTGTAATTGTTTTTGCATGTCTTATTTAAATAAAATTAGGTTTTTTCAAGTGAAAAGGAAGTATGAAGAAAACTACTAGTACATGCGTTGAATATTTTCTTTTGATTTTTTCAAATTTTCGACTTTTCGATTTTCCTTTTTTTTGTTTCTTCAGGTTTTCGAATTTTCAAGTTTAAATTTTTCAGTTGGATTTTCCAACTTTGGAATTTTTCAATTTTTTGATTTTGCAATTTAATTTTTATTTTCTTTATTATTTCAATTTTATAATTTTTTGTTTTTCAATTGCAATTTTTCGATTTGCAATTTTTCATTTTTAAATT